CACCACCACCACTCTCAAATCTGGCCACACTGGGCTGCCTGCTCCCTTCCCACGGCTGTGCTCTCTCACCTCCTTGCTTTGGTGCACGCTGCTTCCTTGGCCTGGGATGCCCTCCCTCACGTCCACTCCTTTTGGGGCCTCCTCTGGGAGGTGAAGTGCCTGACCTTGGCTCCGTAGCCCCTCTGCTTCCTCCTTTTGTTGCATTCATCACACTGAATAGCAATTGCTCTTTGCAACGCTCCAGGCACCATTTTATTCATCACTGTGTCCCTAGTGCAGGGCCTAGCACAGGGCAGGTACCAAGGAAAGTACTGGTGATGCAGCTTTAAGAGTTGGGCTCTAGAGTTAGCAGAAGAGGTGCCAATCCCAGCTCCTTCAGGCATCTTCTAGGTCCCTAGGTGGGCAGTGGGAAGCCAGGAAGCTAAACCCAAAGCCCGGCAAAAGTCAGAGTGGGAAGGACCCTCAGAGAGCCTCTAGTTCAATCTGCCCATTCCACAGATGGGAAACTGAGGTCCAGAGAAGGGAAGCAATTTGACCAAGATCACACGGGGGTCAGCGGCAGAGCCAGAACTCATCCCAAGGCTCCTACCGATGTCCCTCCTGGCAGAGTCCCTCCAGAGCCTGCCCCCCAGACCTGGCAGAGGCATCCCCAGGAAGGTAAGAGGCTCATCAGGGACCCAAGGCAGACGGCAGGCGGCAGGCACATGCACCTTGTCCTTGGCCTATCCTGTCCCCCTCTCCAGCCCCCGAACTGGCTGGGGCAAGGAGGAGTGGGGACAGGAGGAGCAGGCGAGGGGGTACCTCGGTCTCCAGCTGGCGTGGATCCGAAAGAAACTCCGTTTATTACTAAACATCTGGCTGGAAGTTGAGAACAAGACACAAACAGGTTAGTGGGGAGGGGGCAGGTGGGCAGAGCATGGGGGGCTGCCAGGATGGGGCTGGCTTCCTGTGGCCGGTGGGAGAGAAGAACCCCCACCCAAATCATCCTCCAGCCCGCATCCCCAGGATGCAGAGATTCTCAAGATCTGCACACGGATCTCCTGGGGAGAATGTTAAATAGGCAGAATTCTGTGCCTCTTCTCCAGAGATTCTCCTTCTGTGGGCTTGGGGAGACATCCGGGCATCCGCATTTTGAACAAACACCCCACAGGTGCTGATTCAGGAAGTCAGTGGACCATGCCTTGAGAAATATCATCTTAGCGCCTCATCAAGAAACCTCAAAGAGAGGAGGTGCTGACCCTGGCAATACCATCCCCCAGGAAGTTCTGTTCCTTGTAGTCTTGGAACGTGCTCAGCCTGGGTCCATCCACAAGTAGCACTAAGGGGATGACCAATGAGGAGGAGTATATAAGTGTATGTGGGTGTGTGTGTGTGGGGGGGGGGGGGTCCTGTCTGGAGTACCCACCCCATAGGTCCAGAAAGCCAAGAGTGAGGATATGCCCACTTGGCCTGAGCCTGATGACTGATGTCCTAGAAGTCACAGCTCAAACCCCTGGGGTCTCTGGGAAGAAGGGACACTCCACCACCATCACCGTGAGCCCCAGCCACACAGATACTCCAGGGCAGACAGACACAAGGCTGGGAGTTAGTGATGGCCAAGCCCCTAGCAGTCATCTGGTCCTAGGCTTTGGGGGACCCAGAGTCCTGGAGCAGCGGTGGGAGGGAGGGGTGTTCCCACTCCAGGTTAGTCTCAATTTTCAGTACCTTTCTATCCAAGCAAGGTGAGACCAGAGCAAACCGGACACTCCAGAGAGCACTGGTTCAGGCCCTGGGCAGGGCTGCTCAAATACCAAAACTCTTGAGTCTTACCTAGAAGCTGTGGTTGGGTGAGGTTGGGGAGGACAGTGAAGGGCCTTCAGGCAGGGACAAGAGAATCCGGCTAGGACCACACCAGGGACTCGCTTCCAGGGAGCTCCCAGCCTGGCCTGCCCAGTCATGCTGCCCGTCCCTCTACCCCCTGACCTGTTCGGCCCCTGGCCAGAAATGCCCTCACAGAGAAGAGGGAAGACATGTCGTTCCCAGCATCCTTTGCACCAACACTCCCTCCTCCCTGTTCCCCAGGCCTTTTAAGCCCAGAAACCCAGAGAACCCAGAGCCCCTGATCATCCTAAACATTGCTGATGTTCCGCCTAGGACCCAGAGGCCCAGAGTCCCTCAGTGACTGTCTCAAGGACACACAGCATCAGGCGGCAGAGACAAACTTTCACCACGCCACCTTCCGATCACTGAATGGCTGGTCTCTTCTCCCCTCCCTTGTTCTGGGTCCTGGCCTCAGAATCACAACTGAGGCTCAACGCCCAGATGTCTACCTGGCTGATCAGGGATGATGTGTGAAGATGAAACAAAAGAAAGAGATGGGTAGGGGTCAGGGGAGGAATGAGGGGGGATTGAATCCTTGACCCCAAAGCTACACTTCTATGGGAGCGGCCACTTTCCCATACTGTGAGTTAGTGAGCTTCCCTTATCCAAAAATGCCTGAAACTCCACTATTTTGAACATTTATGTGGGGGTAAGCATCGTTCTTTCTTTGTTCTTCTTTCAGGATGCAAAAGCTCCAGGAGAGACAGGTCAAGGGGAAAGAGACAGTTACGAGCAGCAAAATGTCCCTCAGTAAGGAAGAAAGGCATTATAGGAGCATCCCAAGAGGACCCTCTGGGATTAGCCAAGCTGCGGACAAGGGTTGCACAAGACAAGAGCATTAGTCATTGGTTGCGTTTACGTAGGTCCTAGAGCGGTTCTTAGGCACAGAGCTCTCTCTCCAGCTGGCTCCTCACTCCCGAGAGGCAAGTTCAGGGGCAAGCCCCTTCTAGAGGAACATGCTGGGGGAGGGGGTTCCCTGCCCTCATGCCCCAGAATGGTGCCCACGATTACCTGAGCCGTAAGCACCTGTGGCCAGCGGCCTCCTCCTCTCTCCAGCTGCCCAGGAGGGATGGGGGTGCAGGGATGGAAGAGTGAGGGGGACGCGGAAACAGAGAAAGAAAGAGGACAATGGAATGAATGGAGGAGGTGCTGGGAAAGGACAGTGCGGATAGCTCCCCCACTCAGACCCTTAGAGCCCCAGGTGACAAACAGGTGAGTCCAGCCTGGCCTCTGCAGGGAGGCTTTCCGTCTGTACCTGTCAGGCCATCCGACGACAACTGCCCAGGCCTCATGACAAAGCCGGGGAGTCCCCAGAACAGGCCCAGACACCCACATGGTGGCTGCAGGCAGGTCTGAGAGAGGATGAGACAACGAATGGAAGAGGAGGAGGAGAAGCAAGAGGAGGTGGCGGCCCCGGGGGGCCCCTACCTTTCCCCAGGGCAGAAGGAGGCGCTGCCCGGCCGGTGGCAGGTAGCAACGGGCGGGTAACGGGAGGGTGCTCCATCGGGTACCGGCGCCCGCCGCACCTCCAGGGGCCGTAGGCCCCCGTTGCGGGCCCGTTGCACGTGCTCAAACAAGAGGGCCAGCTCTCTGCAGGAGAGGGCGCCATCAGCGGCAGGCAGGGCCGTGGCACCACCCGCTCACCTGGTGGGCACCGAGCTCCAGAGCTCAGATCCTGCCAGGCTCTGCCTCTAGAGGTGCTCACCAAACACCCCAAGCCAGAACAGGCAGGGTCGCAGGTGGGAGAGACGAGCCTTCCTCCCTCCTTTTCTGCACCCAGTTCTTGGGAAATCCTCAGGGCTGCTGGGTACGGTTTTGCAGGCGGGGCACAACTTGAGGGCACCCTCAGAAGGTGGCAAGTGGGAGCTCAAATCCAGCCTCCTCTCTGCTCATCAAGCAGAGTGCCCAGACATGAAGCTGTGCCTCCCTGGAGGCCAGCGGCAGCCCTGAAATCCTCACCCTCCAGATCCGACGGGAACTTTGGGGGAAACTGAGGCGCAGGAGAGAGACTTGATTGGGGAGCTAGCCCGGCTTCCCACTCCTGCAGCATCCACTCCTGCCACTGGGTTCTTGGAGACCAGATTGGGGCTCAGCTTCTTCCTAAGCCTCCAGGCCATTTCCTGGTTCCATAACCCAAGGAGGATATCTCCCCTCTGCCTTCCCATTGTATGGATGGGGAAACTGAGCTCCAAGGAGCAGCAGGCCCATGGACCTAGAATCTCCAAACCAAGCTCTGCTCCTCTTACTGGAGGGCCCAACACTATCCCCAGATCTTCCCTCCCCCTCACATACACCATACTTCTAACAAACCAGCCCCTGCCCCACTCCCCAAGTCTACCCCTGGAAAGGGAGGCTCCTTCTACGACCCCTGTCTCTGAGGTAGGAGCTTGCGTTTGTCAAGTGGAGCCCCCCTTCCCAGCCCCTTCTCTCCTGTTCCTCCCCTAGGAAGCCCCTGGAGGCAGTGGGGAGCAGGGAGGGGGAGCCAGGTGTAGGGGTGAGTGGAATCACGCAAGAGCTGCTCTTGGAGAACTAATCAGGAAAAAGACCTGCCCGCAGAAGCGCTGAGCACAGCAGCCTAGCCCAGCCTCGTGCTAGATGCCCGCTTGCCCGCGGGACTGAGCCACACTCTGTGGTCTCCATTCCTGCCCAAGGGCCTGGCCAGGCACCTGGCCACACAAACCTCGGAGATGGCTATTAATAATGCTCTTCGTGGAGCCACCCCCGGGGGCAGTCCTACCCTGGCCTGGGCCAGTGGGACGAACCCACTTCCGGGTGCTAGGGCCAGTAAAAATAGGGTCACCTTCACACACACGGGTGCTGGGGTGTGTCCGTGAACCCAACTCTGGCACACACGTTCTTGCCCCTCCCACACTTGCTCTACCCGGCTGGTAAGGAATAACCCTACCCTCAGCTCGAAGGGGAGATGAGCTGGCTGCCCACCGCCCTGAACGGCAGCCCTGTGGGTCAGCCTACGGACGGCCAGCTCTCCAGAAACCAGGGTGCAGCCCCATGGGGCAGGGCTCCACCCCATGCCCAGTGTCCACCGCCTTCCTGGGGCAGAACAGGGCGGGAGAGAGGACACTCCGGGCTCTGTGTTACATAGGATTTGCAGAGCCAGCCCGATAACGCCTCCGGGAGCCATCACCCCTTCCCCACCCTCCAGGGCTGAGTCCCAGCCACTTGTCCCCAAGGGGTGTTACCACCAGCCCACGCCCGCCCATTCCGCCCGCCACCCCCCCCCCCCCCCCCCGGAAGGCAGGGCCTACCTGAAGGATGGGAGGATACTGTCATAGTAGTACCAGGTGGCCGTCAGGTAGGCCCGGCTCGTGTCGGTGGAGTACAGGCGCCACGCAGCCTGGTCGAATGAGGGAGAGGGAGGGGGAGGGGGAGGGGGACAAAGCATCAGGTAAGCCTCTGAGCCCCTCAGAAGGAACCCAGTCCTTGGGTCGGCTGAAGGGCACTCAGAGCCAGAGGCCAGCTTCAATTCCATAGCCATCAGCAGGACCAGACAGACTTCCGCAAGGTAGGGAGCAGGTGGGCATCAGAGCCAGGGGTCTAAGGGAAGAGCTGGGGTTTTGTAAGGCAGACATGGGTTTCCAGTCCCAGCTTCGCCCCTTACTAGCATGGACAAATAAGGGAAGCTGCAGAGCCCCTGTCTCCTCATCTGTAAACCAGATGTAATACTACCTACCTAACAGGGTATCATGAGGATTAAAAGGGCAAACGTGTATTAAATGCCAAGTGCAGTGCCTGGCATATGGAAGACACTTAACACCGGCTTCTCCTGTTGAACGCTCCTGGTACCTCCTCCCACCACAGCTAGTAAATCTCCATTCATTGTGCATTTGATTAATGTCTTCCTCTCCCCCTAGACTCTAAGCCGTGTCTTGGTCACTGCTGTATCCGTTAGCACATAGTAGGTGCTCTGCAAACGTTAGGGGAATAAATACTGATCGCGTGAATTATAATTACTACTAATAAGTCCACCCCATCTTTCGCAGCTGCCTGTCCCTGCCCACGGGGTTGAAGAGGGAAGGAAAGAGCATCAGAGCATCACCTACCAACCCCTCAGCATCCACAGATTTGCAGGATTTCCTCTGCAGCAGGAGGGATGAGGGCTGGGCAAGAGGAAGGACTGTCCCTCTCCCTCCAGGTAACGAGAAGAGCCAAGGAGAGACTGTGAGTGGGGTGATTAGGGAGGGCAGGGAGGCATGGACAGAGCACAACTGAGCCCTGGATGCCCCCCCCCACCACCACCACTTCGGGTGCCTCTTGTCCTTAAGGGACTGCCCACTGCTGACCTCACTGGCCAGGCACCCTCCTAGGACAGGAATATTTTTACTTCCTGCTTGCCTAGGCCCCTGGCTTGAGCTGGGGAGCAGCTGCCAGAGCTGTCTCATTAATTATGGGCACCACAATACCAGCTGTCTCTTGGCCTGGACAGTGCCAGCCGCCTGCCCCTACAATGCCCCTTGGAAGGCCAGCTCCCGGGGGACAACGGCCATTGTGCCCCAAGGGATGCCGAGAAGGAAAGGCTGGGCTGGTGGCTCGAGATAGCAGGGATGGGGACGGGCTCCCACCCTGGGGAGGAGAGATAAGTGGGGGTGAGTCAGACTTGGATTAGGGAGTGCGAGGGTGGCATGCTGGGAGCAGGCCAAGCTGGGATGTGCCAGTATTCCCTGAACTACTTCCCGCAGGGGCTTCTCTTGCACACACCCTGACTCGAGAGAAGCCAGGGCTGAGTCACAGACTCATATAAAATTGGAGCCTTTGCCTCAGCCATGCCCTATCAGAATGCCTCAGCACAGTGGGGGAAACTGAGACCACACGCTCCTTGGTTTTCTTCCCACCCCTCTGGCTGTTCCTCCTCTGTCTCCTTGACTGGCTCAACTCTGCGGGCCCTGTCACTAACTGCTGAGGTTCCTAAGCATTCTGGACCATCTTGTCTCCTCCGTCGTCTTTCCTCTCCCTGCGGGGTGAACTCATCCGTGCCCTGGGCTTCGTTACTATCCAGGTGCAACGGCTCCAAGCCTTCTCTGCCCAGCACACCCCTCTCCTCTCAGCCGCAGACCCGCATATGCAGCTGCCTCGTCAACATCACTGCTCAGGGGCTGAGGCCCCCCAGACTCCACGTGCTCCAGCCAAGCTCACATTCCTCGTGTCTCAGATCTGGTCCCCCCTCCAGGGAGGAAGGCGATCGATCATCCAGTTGGGCAAGCCAAAAACCTGGAAGTCACCCCCCACACATGTCCCTCACTCTCTTCCTCACTCCTGATGCTGCTAATTTCACCTCCTAACTATGCAGAATCGGCCCACTTCTCCCCATCTCGTCTGTTGCTATGCTAGTCAGGTCACCCGGCGCCCTGCCTTGCCCACACTGTGGCCAGAGCCTCGTATCATCGCACACACACACCTGGGTCACCCTCCAATCCATTCACCTATTTTCAAAACACAAATCTGATCATGTCACCCACTCCTGCTTTATACCTGTCAGTGGTTCCTCCCTGCTCTTAAGAAAATGGGAAACTCCTCCCCGTGGCCTTCGGGTCTGGCCCTCACCCACTTCCCCAAACCCTTCCTCCTTGAGCTTTCTGTTCCAGCCTCCCTAGCTTCCTTCCAGTTCACCAAACACACCATGTTCCCCTCCACCACAGGGCCTTTGCACATGCTGTTCCCTTACCCTGAATGCTCCCCCCTTTACCTCTACACCTAGTTGACTCCTGCCGGTCCTCCAGCTCTCAACTCGAGTGTCAATTTCCCAAGGTCATCATCCCTGAGTTCCCCTTCAAGGTCAGACCAGGCCAGGACCCTGTTAAACACTCTTCAGAGAACAATTTCTTTCTTTCAAAGTGTTTAATCTCAGTTTATAGCTACACCATTCATTTGTGTGAGTGCTTGTGGAATGAGCTTACTGATGACTGCACCTTTGGTGGCAGGACAAGAGGCCCTAGGCCCCATTCCAATGCAGGCCGTGTAGAGTTGGGGCTGGAGCTGGACAGTGGGGCAGCTCTGGTGAGTCCTGAACTGAGCCCAGGGAGCAAGAGAAGTTTCTAGCAGTCCCAGTTAGCATCCCAGCTCTGCCTCTGACTTGGCACGTGACCCCAGAAGAGTCACATCTGCTCTCTGAGCCTCAACGTGGAGCCACAATTGCGAAACTGGGAGGCGTGGGTCAACACACAGAGTTGATAACACCAGTTCATTTCATGCTTCCTTGGCGTCTTGTACCTGGATGAGGTTAGCTGCAGGCATCCTCCTCTTCTCGAAGTGCTTCTGCCGGTGCTGCTCCTGCACCTTCAGGGCAAAGCCAGAGCCAAGGATGCCCTAGGGGAATAGGCGTGGTTGGGAGGGGGGGAGATGTGGGGGGGACAGCAAAAGGCAGAGAAGGTCTCCATCACTGCCCATCTGAGATGTCCCTTTCCCATCCATGCAAATGGGGGCTAGGGGCTTGGCAGGCTCTGCCCCCAGGACCTCTCTCCCCCGGGATGGGAGATCCTAAATGGATGGCGACTCACGGCAGGCAAGGCAAAGAAGGAGATGCCTAGTAAGGCGAAGCCGGCAGCCAGGACCCTGCCCAGCCACGTGTGCGGTGTCTTGTCACCATAGCCAATGGTTGTCAGTGTGATCTGGGGACACAAACAGTTTACCCTCAGGGCTGGTCTCGGGAGCCACCCACAAGAGCTTGTTGGGACACAGGCAGGTGGGAGCCTGATCATGAGGGCGGTGCCCTGTGGTCACTCACAGGGGCTGGTTAGGGGCATAGATGGATCCCTCCCCATCACTCCACCATGCTGGTCAGGGGTAAGGTCACAAGGGCTTGGTGTGGGGAACTACATGGAGCACAAACAGATTTACTGGGGCAGGATGGGGGCTAACACAGGGGCTGGTCACAGGGGGTCCCAGCCTTAGCAGAGAGGACAGAGACAGGCCCGCTCAGCCTTGAGTCAGGGTCACAATGGTCACGCAGGGGAGGGTCCCAGGGAGAAGGGCAGCCCTGCACAGACCCTCACGCACCGTCCCCCACCAGAGCGAGTCGGCGTAGGAGGAGAAGTCAGAGTTGGCGTCCTTCTCGGCCAGATAGACCAGGAAGGAGGCAAAGATGAGCACCAGGAATCCGATGTACCAGGCGGTGATCAGCTCCTGCGGTGACAGCAAAGATGAAAACGTCAGGAGGGCCGAGCCAGAGGGGTATAAGGAAGCGCCTAATACTGTGCGTACCTGGGAGAGGGGGGCAGGTGGGAGTTTCCCAGAATGACCCCGAGAGGTGTTCTGGAGGGGGGATAAAGGGGCCCCACCGCTTCGAGTTCCCTGGGGGCGGCTGCCCATCTTTCTTTCCCAGCTCCTCCTTCCGGGAAGACCCTGCCCCGCCTTCCCGAC